CTGCGGCTGGCGGCAGCCCGACTTTCAGTCCACCCGGCTACGTCGACGGCGCATTCGCTGATGCCTCGGGCGCCTTCGTGGACGCCACCGGCGCCGGTGACGGCCTCTTCGGTTTCGATCACGACAGTTCTTGGCAGGGCCGGCGGGCTACTCGGATCTGTGAAGGCGCACGACTGCGGCAATACAACAAACGCTACGGCAGCCTCCTCTTACATAACCGCCCACTCGTGTTTAAACGCATTCTACACACACTTAATTACGTCTTGCACGTTATTAACCGGAACGTGACTGCACGACGCGAAGGTATGAGTGGTCGTGAGATCGCGACGGACGTAACTGATTTTCTTAAGATCCATATCAAGGCGTCGACGAGATGTCCACACACGAGCGAGACCGTGGCCTCAAACAAGGACGTGCTGCTGCTGCCGCTGAACTGCAGACGGCTGGCTGACTACCAGAAGAGCAGCATCTCACCCGACACATCTGAAGTGTCCGCCTTCGAAGACTCCTTGTCGAGCGAGGAAGGGCTGCGAGAGGACCACCGAAGTGTGCCGTCGAAACCCGCGCCGGAGTCGGCCGGAATCAAACCCGAGACCGGGTGTTCTGAGACTGGGTCGCGTAGTGGCGAGATGACACGGAATGCGGAGGCGGCGCTAAGTCAAGAGTCGATGGCGACTCGGGGCAGTGTGGAGTCGGGCTTCAACGTGTTCACGGCCGCGGCTACGGGGTCGCTACCACGTCGGACAAGTCCTGTGCGGTTTGCGGACTTGTTGGTGGACTCTCTGGATCGGGAGTCGGAGGTAAATATGACATGTACGGCCTGCCATCGACGAAGTGGGATCAAACCGCATCGGATGCGAGAGGAAGTCACACGACTCCCAGCCGTCCTGGGTGTCAAGACGGAGGGACTTGAGGACCTTTGGCCTGTCAACGACACACGTTTGGTCGTGCGAAAATACACCAAGGCAAAACAGGAAGGAAGAAACGCACGCGCCGGCGCCATGGCCGAAGAACTTACAGCACATCTGAACGATAGCCTCCTGCCATCTACCATCTATGTCACGAAGCGAGGTAAATGGGACGTCAAAGCACCGACCAGAAAGACCACTCGGAATATGGGCAGTGGCAAAGACTCCTCGGGTGGCAAAGACTCTTGGGGTGGCAAAGACTCCTCGGGTGGCAAAGACTCCTCGGGTGGCAAAGACTCTTCGGGTGGCAAAGACTCTTCGGGTGGCAAAGACTCTTCGGGTGGCAAAGACTCTTCGGGTGGCAAAGATTCCTCGGGTGGCAAAGACTCCTCGGGTGGCAACAGGTTTGGTAAACAATGGGTCTTGGATGGTTACGTGGAGTACTCCTTGTTCTGTGTTATGGCAGCAGAGAACATTAACTGGGATCGCAATTCACGACACACTTTGTACAAGATCTGGCACCATGATATGATGTCCGGGAACTTGTTTTCTGGAGGTGGTCATGTGGATGAGAATTCTGCTCCAGACTCCTCCTCGGAATTAGTTGACGCAGATGGCAGCGACCCCGCCTCTGAAGAAGAGCGTCCTGTTGGACTATTGGAAAAACTGCGTCTTACCGAGGTCGAAGAAATAACAGCTGAAAGACCCCCCCTCGAAGACACCGTAATTTCCTATGTCAAGCTCCCCTCAACTGGCCAATGGGTCCTCTTCAATGGACCTCTTACATGCCCCGTAGAGGAGGATGATGTAAAGGCTTTTGGAATACCTTATAGGAAGCCGATTTGCATCTTCTACAAAAGGACTTCTCCCATTACGATACAATTACGAAAAGAATGTACAAAACCAACCTTCGACTCCTCGCTACCACGAAATCTCAGCGTCGCTGTCAACAAGCTTACCAGCCCCCCCTTCACTCCCATGACTCATACTGAAGTGAAACTTGTAGAAGCCGGCAGTAAACCACCCACCATCATACTTCGATTCGAACATTCCCCCACCCACCATCATACTCCACCCACCATCATACTCCACCCACCATCATACTCCGCCCACCATCATACTCCACCCCCCCACTCCCACTCCCCCCCGGGACGACTTTATATCTGGTAGGATTTACGATGGCACTGGATGCAGAGTATGTGGTGACCTCGTACATCACTAAATGCAGGGACAATTTATTGGGGTCGGTTCCTCAATACGCATTAGGTCGGTTGTCAGGATTGCGAGGTGACGACATCTTTACTGACCCGATTTGTATTGCTGACTACTACGTTAACATGTGTGGTGGAGGCCATCACAGTCCAGGACATGTTAGTGGACGGTCATGTTGTGGAGTGCTGGATTATAGAACAGAGTACTCAGGCTTACAGTTCGAGGACTTATGTCAAAAGAGCAGCGACCATTGGCTGACAACACGGTCCTATATCTACCGTCTTGTTAGATACCTTGTCCGTCACGGATGTCGTTTCGTAGGACATGATCTTTTCAACGATTTCAGAATCCTTGGAATTATGGTTCCGTCGAACCTCATCATCGATACAGTACTCATCTATAGACTTAGCTCCAAGTCCAGACTACTCTCACTCAAATACCTCTCCTATCACGTACTCAAGCTCACCATCCAATTAAATACACACGACAGCATACAAGACAGCTGGGCCTCTTTATTACTATACAGGTTAGATATACATGTGTTTGCACACACGTGTTTGCACACACGTGTTTGCACACACATGTGTTTCTTTTCAGGTTCTATTTGCAGTATGTCAAGGAGCATGGTGAGAACGAGTTTATTAACAATTATGTTAGCAGGATTTATTCCATCGGTTACAACACGAACTTCAGAACCCCCAACAGTTGAGTTAGATAGGCCAAATCAAAGGCGCCTGTATCAGGCAGGCTTCGCTTGTATCGAGGGGGGTTTTGGAAAGAAACTCGGGGG